ACAACAGAACTAGCCTCAGCCCTGACCAAATCTGCAAATTACTCGACCTCTGTCTAAACACCACCTATTTCCAGTACAACGGTGGATTCTACAGACAGAAGCATGGCTGTGCCATGGGCTCACCGGTATCCCTGATTGTGGCCAACATCTACATGGAAGAAGTGGAGAGTAAAGCCCTCAACTCCTTCAGAGGAATAGCACCGAGCCACTGGTACAGATATGTGGACGACACCTGGGTCAAAATCAAAAGTCAGGAAGTGCAAGCCTTCACAGAAACATCAACTCTGTGGACAGTAACATCAGGTTCACACGAGAAGATGTTCACAACAACAGTTTGGCCTTCCTGGACTGCGCTGTACACATTGAAGAGGACAGGAGCCTGCAGATTGGTGTTTACAGAAAACCCACACACACAGACCAATACCTACTCTTCGATTCACACCACCCACTGGAGCGCAAGCTAGGGGTCATGAGAACACTGCACCACAGAGCGGAAAACATACCAACAAGCGCCCAAGCCAGAGAGAAGGAACAGAACCACCTGAAGGGGGCACTTACAGCCTGTGGATACTCTAAATGGAACTTTGTGAAGACAGCCACAAGATCCAAGAAGAACAAAACTACAGGGGAGGAGGAAAAGAAGGTCAAACGCAACAACATTGTGATTCCATACGTGTCTGGAATATCAGAGAAACTCAGGAGGATTTTTAACAAACATAACATCCCTGTGTTTTTTAAACCCAAGAACACTAAGACAGATGCTGGTACACCCCAAAGACCGCACACCCAAACACAAGAAAAGCAATCTAGTGTATGCGGTCCAATGCAGTGAGGAATGCACAGACCTGTATATTGGGGAGACTAAACAACCACTACACAAACGCATGGCTCAACACAGAAGGGCCAACTCCTCAGGTCAAGACTCTGCAGTCTACTTACATCCGAAGGACAGAGGACACTCGTTTGAGGACCACCAGGTGCACATTTTAGACAGAGAAGATGGATGGTTTGAAAGAGGTGTCAAGGAAGCCATCTACACCAGGGTTGAGAAGCCGTCATTGAACAGGGGAGAGGGTCTACGCCACCACTTATCTCCCACTTACAATGCTGTCCTTTCATCACTTCCCAGGAAACTCAACAAACGTAACCTATTGGCCTCAGGTGAAGATACCAACGATGGTCGTTCAGTCTTGGCCACAGGTAGTCTCAACGACTGTAACGACTGTCGTCACAGCAACAAGGAACACTAACGAACCAGCGGTATCGATGACCCGGGATAACGACCCCACTGAGGTTAAATAGCTGATTTTCCCTGCCAGTCAGTCAGAACTGAAGAAGTCCTTTGGATAAGGGACGAAACGTCTTCCAGTAGCTTCAACCAAGTCCAGTTGCCCTTCATTTTAACCCTCGTTGGATACTTGTAAAGAATAACTGCTGAAATATTGAGGCCATGATGACCCAGCACCAGCAGCAGTGACTATAAGGATCAGATGTAGAACGCCTTGAGGAAGTGCAAGATCAGACCTGAGGACCTAAGCTGCTGCTGACTGTACCACTTGCCAACAAATGTGCAGGGATGGGGCTTTTACGCTGTAGATGGAGAAGACAACCCGAAGATAGCAGAAGAGAACCAGGAGCCACCACTACTACATATAGATGCCTCACTTGCAATATAGCTTGTGGCTCCAGGATAGGACTGTTTAGCCATTAAAGAACCGTTATAGGAACACATCGGATTTTGATGGACAACCAAATGATCTTTTTTTCATTATGTACAGGAATAGAAAGACTACAATAAAGAAAGCAGACACAGTTCACTATCTTTTTCTCTGAGAATAATGAAAACAAGTAAACTCTTCAGTAAATGCTCTGCATTTGTATAGCACCTTTCTAGTCTTTGCAACCACTCAAAGCGCTCTTACACTACATTGCAAACAGAAACTAACATTCACACACTGGTGGAACAGCCACCAGGGGCAATACGGGGTTCAGTATGTTGCCCAAGGACACTTCAACACGCAGGTTGGAGGAGGGGGGGGATTGAACTGCTGATCTTTTTATTAACAGGTAACCTGCTCTACCTTCTGAGCCACAGCCACCCCTTTATGGTTGCATTCAGTGCACTTGAAGTTAGTGTATCTTTCTGTTGTTGACAGTTATTTGTGGGATGAGAAACAATATGTTGATGTTGAGAGAGAGAGAGAAAGACAAATATTGGATGTTTCATTGATGATTAAAAGGTTTTCACTGCACACTTAACAGCACAAAATAGCCTACTTGGGCCTATAATGAAAACTTACCAAAGACCTGAAAGTTAATGGTTGTTTCATGGCGTTTAATGTGATAACCTTTTTAACTTTCCCTCATTCTGCCTAACTGTGTTTGATTTTATCTACTGAGCAACAGAGGGCTATTTGTCAGATCAGCTACTCCACTGACTCCTTAGAAGTATGTACATATGCTGTTTATGAGTTGTTATGAAACAAACAAAAATAAATAAACGCTCATGTTCCAATCACTGCATTTCAGTAATTAATATCAAGTTATTGGGACAACTTTTATCTGCTTGTGACGTCCTCACTTATGCAATGCAATGTCATTACCATGCAAAATAAAAGATGGTGTCACAATATCAGCCTGATTGTTGCCATTTTCCTCTTTCATTCTGTCCTTGCATACCTGCATATTAACTCTCTTGCCATTTCAGACCCTCCCTCCCTGCAATAGCCCCTTTTACTGCCATTTCTCATCATGTGACTGCCCCACCCACCTGCTCACCTGTAACTGTAACTTTCCTGTCTGCTTGGTTTTCGAGTTGTGCTTTTGAGTCCAAACCTATGACAAACTAAAATCACAAAATAACATTTAAAACATTCCCAGACATTTAGGTCTTGCTGAATTGTCCAATGTGAATAGTGGTAGTATTAATTCCAACTGGTAGTTAACTCCAGGATTATCAAATTTCTTGATGGTTTGTTAAGTGCTCTACTTTTCTATTATACCTTTCTAAATCTACATAGCATTTTACTCTTAATGGCAGCCTAACATTTTGCCTCCCTACACTGGCTCCCTGTTAGATTTTGAAATGATTTTAAAAGGTTATTGTTCACTTTTAAGGCCGTAAGTGGCCTTGCATCTCAGATTTATCGACCAGGTATATGCCCTCTAGACCGCTGAGATCTCCAGATGGAGCCCTGCTGGTTACTCCCAGGTCTCAGTTTGTGACAAAGAGTGGTCTGGCTTTTGCTATTAGAGCCATGGAACTCTGCCTGCTGAACCCAGTCTCACTGAGTCTCTTGCTCCTTTGGAAATGTTTGATTTATGTTTTTATTGTTTATTTCTGTTTATTATTTAATTGATCTTATTCACTTGTTTTTACTTCCTCTTTGCTCTTGTTCTTTGGCCTTATTCTAATTTTATCTACCTTTATCTGCCTTGTCTGGCTTATTTCTTTTTGTAAAGCACTGTGTTACACTGTTTATAAATAAAGTTTATTGTGTTATTATTATGTGTTTTTTTTAATCAAATTATAATTTTGTGGAACATAAAAATAGATATCTGAACATTATGATTTGGTAATCCATTTATTCATTTTATAAAGCATTTTATAATCTAAAAGATGTAGGGGCAGCCTGGCAGCCTGTGAATAGCAGTTTGGACAGGTGCTATGTCCTTCCACACACAAACACAAACACACACAACACACACACACACACACACACACACACACACACACACACACACACACACACACACACAGTTGAGGAGATGAGAGGACACAACATTCAGCCCTTGAGGTATTTCATGCAGTTGCAATCAAGCAATGCAAAAGTATCAGTATCAGGAGTCATTCTAATAAAACAGTAGAAGTAGAGGTACTGTGCTTGAAAGAAAATTAAAAGAAAGAGGCATTTCAAAAACTAAATTGATGTTTCCCAATAATTCTATTAATAAAGCCTTAAAATTATTGTGTCCTAGAGGGACATATTGTTTCCACGTCAGTTCAATTGGTGACCTGTGAGCTATTGAGATCACTTAATTTATCTTTGAGGGATCAACTGCTTTTATGCATCAATAGCAAATGAATCATCCTACTTGTGAAAACGTGACTGAGAGGTGTTAAAGTTTGAGGCTGATCAGATGCAATGGACAGTCTGCACCACTAGAGGACAGTACTGCATCATCAACAGCCATTAAAGAAACTACGTTCTGCCTGCATAGAGTGCAGCTCACAGAAATGTATCAAATTGTTTACACAACAGTTATATATTTATATTACATGTATACCTCCAGAGCAATTAGAAACTGACAGAACATTTCAGTTTGTTTGAGGTGGTCATTGTTTTCTCTAAATTGATACATTTGGCTTAATCATAAAAATGTAATATAGATAGTATAGACTAATGTATAGACATATAGACAGCCATAATTTAAATAACTAATAAGTTGTTGCTCTGACTATCTACATTTAGGTTGCTTTTGCTCTTTATTAAATTTCATTTAATCTCTAACAAATGAAAGGGTTTCACGTAAAGACCATCCATATCACTTTTGCCAAATCATCATATTTATTGGCACTTCAACAGGAGCAATCATTATTATCAGCATACTCTCCCTAATCTGAAAGTAATAAACTTTAAGGAATGATGCTTGAGTCCTTTCAGATCACCCGGAGCAAAATATTAAAAGGAAAATGAAAATCTGGCACCAGAAAAATCCATTAACAATACATTTGGCTTGTAATATGGTTGCAGTATTTTTAAAATATGCTAAAAACCTTAATTTAAAAGGCAATACACAAAAATAGGCCACTCTAGTAAATACTTTAGAACAACATCACCACAATTATCACCACATTGTCAAACAAACACAAAGACAAAAGGCTTGATGATAACACTTTGGCCCAGCTGCCGCATCACTTCATCTGATTCTACACGCACAAATCACAGACAATAACGGTTTGACACATTTCTCCATTCTGGCTAATGATACTGCAGCACAGTCTCATTTTATCATCTAGCACCATTGATGCAATGTCCAGAGAGAACAATTGGCTAGATTTTGAAAATCAAGTTAATTCTTTCCCTAATAAAAGGAGAACACCATGGAAATGGTGACAATCACCAGATTTTCATTTATTCCAACTACTCTTAGTCTCTTAGGGCTAGATTTCTTTCCCGTACATTCTCAAACTTTACAGAGAAATCCAGAGTGCGGTGCATTAGTACACAATGCGTATTGTGTCACTGCAACCATAAGAGATTATGCATCTCTTTCTGCTAGAGTTTTCTGTAGTAACAAATTTTGCAAACTGAAAATATTGTACTTAATGTGACTTTGGTTATTCTTGCTCCATCCATTATGGGTAGATCCACTCACTGTGTGTCACAAAAACTTATGGTCATATGTTTACATCCATTATCCATCTGTTCACAGCTCATTCATCTCCATTCAGTATCTAACCATCAGTGGTCCATTTCAGCATCAGACTCATCATGATTCACTGTAAACATTCATTGTAAACACAAATAATCCACCACCACTTTCCACTAGGTGGCATTATGTACTGCCAAGTATTCCTCCTGTTTTATTCATACATTGATTCAGCCAGGCCTGTCTGCTTGAAGGTCTCTGCCACCTGTCTGGAGTGCCTCATCTTAAATGACAGTGCCTCTAGAATATCATTCTGGTCCACAGCGGTGGCTGTCCGGTAAATAAACGTCGCCATTGACTCTAGACCCTGCATACCTAGATTCACCCCACAACCTGGAGGATAAAGAGGAGAGGAAAAGGAAAGCATAAATCACAAACAATCATACATGCATGAAATAAAATCAATCTCATTAATGCACAACAATAAGAAGCACTGTTCCTCATTTTGTAGACAAATACTAAACTGCAACCTTGAAGTCGTAGTTATGGCACTTATTCTCATCAGTCCTATAACCTGTTGTTTTATAGAAGTGTACCTGTGTCAAAGTTGAGGACGCGTGCTGCCTCCCCCTCCACAGTGACTGCCACATTGTCTCCTTCTATGTAGGCAGCGCTGATGCGTCTGTGTGATAACTGAATCTCAAACAGACGGCGGCTGCAATGCATGTGATGGAGCGTCACGTCGTTGAGACGGGGCTCTATGTCCGTCTTATAGGCATTAAAGGACTGGTGGAAAATGTTCTTCATGATCTGGGCAGCAAATCAGAGACAGATATAAGATATTTATTACAATTTGCAGCATTATTGATTGAAGGTCACCAGTTTTTGACCTCTTGTTGTAAACTGATTATCTTAAAAATTGATTTATACCGTTAACACTTATAAAGGTATCAAGGTCCTGTTCACCACCCAGTATACTTTTAATTACACTACTGCAATGGCACAATAGCAAGACACACAACAGTTTTCTTGATATCAGTGTGTGCCTTTGGTTTTCTTAGAATAAAAGAAAAAAGACTGATTAACACTGGGATGAGAGACATGGAAAGATGCAACGTGACTGATTCCAAAACGGATTCAAACCGTGGCAGAAACAATTAATCGATTTGTTGATCGACAGAAAATTGTCATTTTACAAGCACAATGACAAATGTTCTCTGGTTACAGCTTCTCAGATGTGACAATTATTATTTTTTTCTTGTCATATCTGATTGGTTTGTTGGACAAACTAAGCAACATTAAGACATGTTGAAAATAATAATTATTTCCACCACTGATTCAAAGATCAAGGACCAAGTCACACTTCTAAAGGTTTTATTGCATCCTTCCTTCTCTCTGTACCAAATCAGCTGAAGCTTTTACCATCTGAAGTGACTCATAAAAGAACATCATCATTTTATGTTGACGCATGTACACTGAAGTAGAAAATGTGTCCACCCATTGTTGTCATCGATTCTACAGTTATTGTTGGTATCGAATAACAAGCCTCTCTCTCGCGTTCTCTCTGCCTCAGTCGCTCTTTGTCTTTGCTCAACTCTGCTCTTCCTCGACCCATACTTGCACAGTCATCTGTTACCAAGTAACAGTGCATCTGAATGGCCACCCACATAGCAACAAGTGCTCCCAGGATGGTCTTGCTACGTACCTGTGTGTCCTACAATGCACCATGCGGCTACAGGCTATGCATGATCAGAGTGGTACTTGACATGAAAACCTAGAGTTCAAATAAACATCAGCTGCCCAGTGGTTGTAACTGCACCCACAGCCTGTTTTCGAGTACATGAAGAAGAAAAAAATGCTGCCTTCCATTTATTTAACAGCAGGATACACACACACACACACACACACACACACACACACATACACTCACACAGTGGTGAGGTTCACTTTCTCCTCCCCCTCTTTCCCCATTTCTTCATCTCATGCTCTCTGTGGCTCAGACACACTCTCACTCAAGTACGTCAACAGACTTTTACACAGTCACACACACGCAGTCAAGCAAACATATACACACATACAGACACTAATGGACTCCTACAATAGTGAAAGTCAAAGGCCACTTGCTGAATGAAAGGTCAGGAATAAATAGATAGGCAAGGCAGCACTGCTGGGTGTCCAGAGTTATTATTACCTTCTTTCCATTGCATTAAGATGGATATACAGCTGCATATCCTTCACACCTACAATCCTCAACAACAACAGCAAGCAGTAAACAAAGCTTTGAAAAAGATTTTATAAAACGGGGACAAGAGTCTCACAGAGGAGTTAGCCGTGTGCCTGAGGAAGCGAACCATCTTGGTATCAGAGACGGGACAGACGAGGGCCATGTAGCGGTTTCTGAAGGTACCATAGATCTTCAGGTGGAAGCCAGGTTTGGCCGAGGGATTCCGGTGCTCTCGGAGGGCTTCCACTCCGTAAGCGGACAGGTCGAAGTAGAGGCTATGGGCACGGATCTCCGGAGTGGGTACCTGGAAGTTAAGAGAGAGAGGGAAAAAAGGACCAGCAAGGAGATCACTGTCACGCTTGATGTCATCTTTTGGACATTAACAATATATCTGTCTTATTCTTAACATACATGTGCCCTATGATGTGTATGTGGTGAAAAGACATGGAACATTAACTATTCACCATCTCTTCCTATGGGGCTATTGCTGCTTGAGTGGAGATAAAGAATTGCTTGATTTTTATTCAGCGGTTCAATCTGGCAGTGACTCCCCATTTCCCCTCAAGCCAGAATTGATCAATTTTCTTTTCAATGACATAAACCAGCCAGGTGGGATCAAACAGCATTTAGTGCAGCCATGAGAGATAGCGAGGGAACAGAGCGGTGACTAGGAGGGGATGGAAGGGATGGAAGGGACAGTAGAGATGACCAGGTCATATCCTGGGAGGTAAATTCAATCACTACAGGAAACAGCCAGAGAGAAAAGGAGCCAATAAATGGCAGCCACAGAGCCACTAAAGAGGACGTGATATGAATGGTTATGGTGGCATAAAATACAAAGGGAGACTATGATTGTGTTCAGATAATAGTCAATATTATGCCGGAAGCTTTTTAGCTTGACTGGTTTATTCGTTTCCCCAAAGTAATCCTCTCTTCTGTATAGATTGTAGCTGTATATAATCATTAGAGCAAGCTTTCGTCTACATAAGTCAGTCTCTACGAACAATACAATTATCAAAAACGGTTCATGTCTGGTGATCTGCGCAGGATGATGAGCAGACTACTGCTGCACATATAATTAGTGTGCATTTTGAATGTTCCACCTTAATGAACCAGCAGGGTTGTGATGTTTGTTTGTCAGTCTGTCTGAACAACTGTACTTCTGCCTGACTGAGTGCCCAAAGGCAGGTCGGCTGTCACTGCATTACCTATTTCTTATCATCTGTCTTTGTTTCCTAATCTGCAGCTCATACAATATCACAGAAATAAGGAACTGAAGTGTTCCAGTCTTCTGTGAGCCTTTTGGTAACATCACTGAGTCATCATCCTAGGAACCATCTGCTTATGTAATGTCAAGTGACCTATGGTGCACTATGTGAAAAACGTTGCAGCTGATGTTTTGATTTCACGATTTATATTCACCTGGCAGGGAACAGATTATGAGTCTGACTGGGGAGGGGGGTGCTATAATAAATTGCAAGCTTTATCATCATCATCACCTTCATCAGAACAACAGCGGAGTAAATCAAAATAGGACCAGTGTTAATGGTGACGAGATCCAACAATCTGCTGAAATCTGGTTGTTTATATGAGAGTCAGCTATCGCCTGCTATTGCCAGGTCGACATCACTGTTTGCTCAAATCAGCTTTACGAGGCTGAATAAAGTCGCCTTGACTGTAATATCCTGCAATATCCTGTTTCTATTGCCTACATTCTTTACACAAACAGTAACCTGTTGGTTATTAGCTCAGTGTGTGCACATGGGTGAATACATCCATTAGAGTATGCCTATACAGATCATCTGTGTGTGTCCTGAACCTGTCTCTGGTCTAGTCTCTCTATAGTTGCATTAGCTCCATAGGCATGGCAGGACTCCACAGTGTAGTCAGAGCTGATGCCCAGCACCGAGCAGGACTCGCCACACGACCCGTCAGCCACCACGATCACACGTGGCCAGTCATTGTGCGGGATCCGCCGCAGGTATTCCTCTGTAAACTGAAACAACAAGATATAGCCACAAAGCAACAACAAGAATTTAAATAGAGAAATTAGAATTTAATTTACAGTTTCAAAGCTTCATCTTGAAAAGAGGTCACTATAAACAGAGGGGGGGAAGTAACAAAGCACATTCACTGTGCTGAAACTCAGATACTGTATTTTTCACCTAACTAAAGTTGGGGCTGCAACTAAAGATTATTCTCTTTAATGATTAATCTGTAAATTATTTTCTAATCGATTAATCATTTGGTCTGTAATATGTCAAAAACAACAGAAAATCAGCCGCCACAATTTCCTAAAGCTCTCTAAGCAGATTGTTTGCCCAACCAACATACCAAAACCCAAAGATATTCAGTTTACTATTACGTAAGACAAAGAAAAGTGAGAAGCAGGAACTAAATGATATTTGGCATTTTGATAGAAAAAACACGACGCAAAGGATCAATCAATTCTCAAAATACTAACCAATTAATCTACTGTTGATTGACTACTCTTACTTTTTATTTTATTTTCTATACTTTTTCCTGCTAATACTTCTAAAGTTATTATTTTCTATTGTATTTCTGGTACATGTTGCATTATTACAACTTTAATTTAATTTCTTCTTCTACCACTGCCTACTAATCTAAGAATGGGTTGTATTGTAACATAGAAGCCATTAAAATGGGCTCCAGACGTTGTGCATGTTTTGGCAACAGTGCATCTCTCAGAGAGAGTTATTATTATGACTGTGCATGCATCATTGCCCCTCAGTAAAACACCAGCTACTTGCCTGTGCAGAGGAGGAGACAGAGCAAGACAAACAAGTTGGGAAAGACTGACTGCTAAAAGGGAGAATAAATACGCCTTACTGTAATGGCTCAGAGCCTAAGAGATATATGTGCAATCCATTTAGACTGCAGAGAATAGGTCATTTTAAAAGACCCCTTTTGCATTTTCAGACCTTTGACACACTAATGGGCAAGGAGGGTAAAAAAATGCATTCATCAAACACAATGTCCTGTCTAATCAAGGGCAAATGGCAAATTTGGCAGTGACTCTGAACAAAACTGAAGTTTGTTGTGATAAAAGACCCTCTTGACCTTGTTTTCATTTTCCAAATGTTAGTGAGTCATTGGATAGCAGGAGGACAGCAGCAACTAACAGGAATGACATTGGAGCTGAAGAGGAAATAAGCTGCTGGCCAGAGCCAGGAAAGAGAAGGAACACACAGCTATAGCAATGTTTTGTACTGTCACAACAGCCACAGTGTCACTCTAGCTCAACCTTATTAGAGCTGTAATAAAGTCTTGTCTCTGGCTTCCAGCCATGACACAAATATTCAGTGAACATTTAATCATTGTTTGACCACCATGAGTACTCATTGCTTCTCTCTGAGAAACCCTTCTGAGGTTTTTGTGTTAGCAGGTTATTTCTTTCTTTGTCCTAAGTTGAGGTCTGGCTGGAGGGTTTGCTCTCACACCCACAGTGAGGACTATGCAAATAAAAGTAACTTTTTAATACAAGAGGGATAGGATTTTTGATTTTATCATAATGATGAGTGATCACAATGTGTGTTGTATCTGATGTTGTGTTATGAAATCAGGCACCAGAACACATTGCATTTAATATGCATTTGGCTTGGGGATAATCTCGGAAAATCCCTTGTAGAAATGTGTAATTAAATCCTTTGGAATCAAATAGGATTACATTTTATAATCCATTTTATTTTGATTCCAGAATATGTTTGGTTAGGAATTTGTTTACTATAATTCTGTCATTTACTTTCCACTGGTCTAAAAACTAATTCTCCTCAGGTTTGAGGTCAGCTTACATAACAGGTTATTTCAACTGATGAGCCGCTTTCAGTCTGACATTATGAAATGTTGCATGAGAAGAAGCTTTGGGAAAATTGTGGAACAATTTATAGTATGTGGTGTAAATGAGCAAACTGCTCCACAGAAAGTCAATTTTAAGGATAATTGCTGCAGCAGTATAAAAAAAAAACTAAATAACAATTCTGTTTGGTAAGAAACATATGTCCTCTGTGTTTCAGGGTGCTTTAAGTACAAACTGGCTCATGTTGAGAGCAGCAAAAAGAATGAAAAGGCTTTTTTAAATGCCAGGAAAGGACATAGTGAGCTACAGTATCAGACAGCAGCCTTGTCCAGGTTCAAGCAAGAGCCTGAGGAGACTGGGGCTTCTCACTGGACATAGGAACAGACATCTCTGTCACCATCACTGTTGAAATTAGACATAACATAAGTATGTCCAAAAGTCTAGTTATAGATAGGGGAATAATTTTGAGTATGAAGCCCAGTCTGTTCATTGGTATAGACTATTAAAAGCCTTGAGGTGCCACTGTAACATATATCACATACAAACCAAAGGATGATTGATAGTAGTTTGCCAAACTGTAAGTTGAAATCAGTAAGCAGGCTATACCTTGGTTCCCAGCTGCACCTTGACGTCCACTTTCTGTTTCTTCTGCTCCAGGATGCTCAGCAGGTACTCCTGAAACACTCCTATCCTGGTGAAGAAATGCTCGTTGTGCCAGCAGCCCTCCATGTTATCAAAGTCCACCCCGAGTCCCAGCAGAAACTTCACACTGCGGGGATCCAGGGCGATCTGCTGGGGCCGGCAGAGCAGGGCAGTCCGGTACCTCTCATCCAGCACGGTCAGTTTCAGCACCTTACCGGAGCGGACAGCGACCAGCGCGGCCGTTAGCCCCACGGGTCCCGAACCCACGATGAGCACCGAGATCCTGGCCCGCCACTGCCTGATGCCGTCCAGGCTCACTTTCACCACCACGTACACGGCCACTGCCACCAAGGTGCTCAGAGCAGTGTCATAGGCCAGCGCGCGGTACCTTTCCTCCGCGTTTCCCCCGATGTCACCAACTCCAGCATTGTCTGCCTGCAGCCCGTCCATACCGCGAGCAGAAATTATACAGTAATGTGTCCCAGGCTATGTTTCGCCAGCAGCTGTATCCTCCCTCGTCAATTATCCCTTCATTATCTTCCATTCACTGAAAGAGAGGCGCAGGCTTTACATCCATGCACACAGCCGAACCAGCTGCGACTTGCCACACGCGTCCTCCCTGCTCCCCTAGAAGCACGCTCTCTCTCCCTCTCTCTCCCTCTCTCTCTCTCTCTCTCTCTCTCTCTACTCCCCAAATCTCTTTTCTAGCCTGAAGTTAAGTTGTGTGTGTCTAAAGAGCGTCACCACAAAATTAGCAGTTTAATGTATCAGCGGTCCACGCATAAAGGTTATAAAGTCATATAGGCCTATCTGAAAGTGCCAGTACTTCATGAAGTCAATAGAAAAGTAGCTGTAGACATGTGAATCTCCTGTCCTAAAATCCAATAGATGCTTAACAGCAAACTGCCGGAGCTGGACAATGTGCTTTGGTTTTACTCTTAGAAACTATCGATTTACTGTTGCTAAAACAAGAGAGGTCGATTCTCTCTCTCTCTCTCTCTCTCTCTCTCTCACACACACAAAGGCCTACACAAGAACAGCAGCACTGCATACTGTATAATCCCAGAGGACTCATTTACAAAGTCTAGAGACATCTACTGTTATTTTCCCACAATAATGTTCCCGAATGGGAAGACAAGCGCTGTTCAAGGGAGAAGCTAACAAATCTGATGGGATAGATGAGGTGGTGGTGGGGGGTCGGGGTGGTGGTTAGCCTGTAGATTGTTCCATGCAGCAGGTGCAGTCAACCTAATCGCTTCCTCTCTGGATTTTTGGAACAGCTTCAGAGTCAGTGTGAAGAAAAAAAAAATTAAGAAAGGAGATACTGGTGAATGTTTCTACAAATCTGCTTGTAGCTTTCCATTCTCCCTAGTCTCTCCTGCACATCTCTGTTCTATGCATTTCCATTTCACTTGACTATATATTTTAAAGGGCCATGGTAATCACTGTCACCATCTAATGTTGTGTGGCTTCCATTTCGACTTTCCTTTCCTTTCCTTTTCCTTCCCCCTCCTGTCCTCTCTGAACTGAAGGAAGCAATGGCTATCAACACACTTCACCATGGTGATAGCTTCTCAAAGGACAAGCCCACTTAACATGAAAAGATGCATTTCAGTAGCGCTACTGCTGAAAATGGATTGTAATGGCACATTTAGCTGGATGGAGATGCAGTGGCCTTGCTCGTTTTCGTTTTTAAACTAATTTCTATTCTAGTGATAGACAAGTGACCTGTCCAAGCCTCTCATATCCAGGGTGGTATGGGCTCCCTTCCCTCCAGCCTTTAAATGTACATTTGTTTTTATAGTTTTATGTTACATGTGTGGCTTTACTTGACTTGAAACTACTTGCACTTATACGGTCTTTGTATTTTTTCGTATATTTTTATTGTTATTGTGTATAAGGTGGCGCTGAAGGAACTTAATTTCATTTCCCTGTGTTTACTGTTTATAAGGAACAATAACCTTGAACCTTGAAACACCTTTCATAAAAATAACAAATAAAGGTGCTGAATATATGAACGAATACTGAGTTAACAATGAACAGCTTTTGGCGCCACATTTTCTCATCAAAATTCCCCATCAGTTCCTCTTCTCTGCTGCCACCCTTGAACGACCCCAATGCACCACATTCATCAAAAGGTTTAGCATTTTAACTAATGTCCTGACCTTTAAGCCCCCATTTAAGCCCTGCTAATAAAATGAACACTTTAAAAGAGGTGATGACATCAATTTACCAGAGTGAGTCCTGATATAAGCCAAATTTTTCACATGGAGATTGACAGAGAGGTTCAGATATTTGTCTCTGTGTCTATGACTATGACAGAACAGTATGTATATCCATAAATCCATTTAAATTGCCCGGGATCCAGAGAGAAAGTGAGGGGAGAAAGACAAACAGAGAGAGAGAGTGAGACGTATTGGTGTGATACATTATGCCTCCACCGGTAATTGGTTTCCACCTTTGCAGGTGCCTGGCAACGATCATAATCTCCAGCCAGTCCAGATGAAAAGAGAAATGAAGCTCTAATTACAGTTAAGACTGGCAGGCGACCACGGACGAGGCATTTCCCTGGAAAAGAATGGATTGGTCACCTGGAAACAAAGTGAGCAGAAATATTCCATAAGGGCGCACTGATGATCACTTTATAGTACTTTATATGATTGTACTTTTTTATTTTATTTTATTGTTTTGCATTATTTATACAGAATTAGTTGGACATCTTTTTGAGAACACACTGCATTTATCAAACATTTATAACCAGACTAAATAATATTTCTACATGTTTGTGGATTTCTTTTTAAACCTAAATTGAGATTAGTGGTATCTCTCCTACCTCAAGCACTTACTCACATACAGTACCATGCATTAATACACTAGAAAACAATTAAGCGACATTTCTGCTTTGATTTCCACATTGGCATGCTAATATATGCAGTTACACAGAGGCGATGGAGATAATCCTTCCACGAAGCCTGGGGATTTGAATGCGTTAATGCCACTGAGTGGATCCCGCACACGTCCTACTCTGACCCAAACCTACGCCTGAACAAAAGGAGCACAGAGAGCAGGATTTTTTTTTATCAGTTTGCCCACATCTTACGGCCAGTAATAGGGCTATGCATAGATCTGAGATCATTAGAGAAAGAACAAATTAGGCCCCCACATAATGAATACAAACCCTCATTGTTGTCAGGGAGTTCAGGCGGCATCAAATCAGCATATCCACAGGGTCACTGTCGAGTGAGGCCACCTGTTAGTTTGCGGTCTCCAATACATCTTTGAGTAGTGTGGACAAGATGACGTGTGATGAATAAGAGGACAATTAAGAGACAGACTTGACATGAATCAGAGCATCATGTTTTAAGATTCAAACAACTACAGAGAAATTCACAGAACGTGTGACAGAAAAACATCAGGCACTCTGATGTGAAATGTATCAATGATAGTTAAAATTGTAGTGTTACTGCAAACGCTTAAAACACACTGATAAGCCAGTAGCCTACGTTCTGAAAATCGGACATACATAGAGTAGCCTAGTACTTGTCATGGCAGTGTATCCTAAATGTGATGCCTTATTAGTTCTGTTTTCTTCTCAGGGAGTAATTTCTTCTTTGGCTCACCCTAAACAACCTTTCCTGCACAATTTGCCCCCCACTGTGCTTGTTCAAAGCCAGTCAAGTCATCATTACTGCCCAGCATGTGTTTTGGGCTGATCAGTCTGACATCTGCCTAAGTACCACAATACACCTGAGTAATTTCAGTGATCTAAACATAATCTTGCAGTTTTATTATGTTTTAATTTAATTTATCTTATCTATTTTTAATCTCAGCAATGTCCACCAACAATTAATTATTTCCCTTCTGTTGAGCATACTAACAGAATCTGGGAAATAACAGAGCTCACACATAAAAGGTTTCTCGTAAATTGAACGAATTGCAAATATTTTACATTAGACCTTAGAGGCCTTGGTTAAACAAACGTGGTAGCTGAAAGTGACAACAGATTAGACTGGACGAAAGGCAAAATATCTTATCTCAAGGACAGGCAGATAAATGCCTCCATGAGATGCACACACATCTACTACACAAATGCTCACACTCTCGAGTTCAAATGTTTCTGCACAGTTAAGTGTTTAAAGAATTGTCTTCTTTTCTGAAAGTGGGAGATGTCAGAGGAAAGCCCAGCACTGGTTCACGGTAGTTGCACTGCCAACCGTCAACCTGTCCAGCTGAGCTTTAAGTAGTGACGTGCTCAGGGCTGACACACTGAACCTGTGGTGACGTGGATTCAGTCAGCCGAAAACACACCATGACCAAGAGGAACGGATTAGATCACCATGGTTACTCAGTGTAATAAGGTCAGTGTGTTAAGCTGAATGTTAGCATCTTAGTAAACTACTGGAAGGCTTCTGTCAGCAATCAGTTGTAGCAAATCTAGTTTCTTGGATTTCTGTCTAAAACATAATAAAACACTGATTACTTAATTTGCTACTTTCTTCTTTCATTTCTTTTTTCATTCTTAATTCATTCTTAAGCCAGGCAATGGGCAATACAAAATTGTACTGAAGCATGTCAAGGCACATTTACAGAGGAGAGTCCTTTATTAGAAATTGTTTCTCTGCATTTTCTAATGACAAAATGGTTGCTAAAAATAGTTCCATTCAGTAGTCCTGCTGAATAACAGAACTAAATTTATCTCGAAGAAGCAAAATTTACTTTTCACTGCACAGAAAAACAATCCCAATAGCTGGTATAATAAAACAACACTTTATTTAAGATGCTACAGAAACACACTGAGTGGTTTAATTATCTGCTGAAAATATGAAAACTCAAACATGTAAATAGAAGTGAATCTGCACTGATTTAAGCATGTCACTAAAGAGTTGAGAAATGTAATATCTCAGGTGTAATAAAACTTACACTACTGGATCTTCCTTGGCAAAGGACACTTTGCTTGCCACATCACAAAAATTAATCTTTAAAAAACAAATGTAATTCAATATTAACTGAACAAGAGAACAAAGTTATTTCCAATATTTCCTGCAAGTATTTCCTGGTTTGGACTCTTCAGAGCATCCATAAACAAACATGTTGTCAAGCAGGACTGAAGACTTGTGACTATTAACAGCACGACAGGCGCATTGGTTTTCCCAGTAGTTCACAAAGACTAGTCTAATCGATAGTCTTCTCGAGCTAAATGTGATGTGAATGTTTAATAGACTTGTAAGTTAGCACAATTCTGACTTTATCCAACAGGTCTTACATAAAATCTGCAAATTCACATGTACGTGAAGGCCCTTGACATAAAAGATTTTGAGAAATGAATGCCACAACCACTCTTCTCTCATGCCAGAACCCATTACTGAGCCGCTGTGAAAAGATTCCCATTTTAGGTTGTGATACAATGGATGTCACAGCCTTGACAGAAGTTACACTAAAGTTAAAGAGCATTGTACTCCACACACTTTGATGGATCAGTGGGGAAGTGTTTCTGGCACATAGTCATTAGTCTCTTCAGTCCCTGTAGAAAGACACATAAAAAAAGAAGGCTTGGAAATTAAGTTGGCAATGAAAAAAAACATTTTGTTTTCTTTAGACCTATGAACATTTTGTTAACACATGTCTTGATTAAAAGTGTTTTGAGAGATATACTGATGTGCAGATTGATGTATAACATCATCTGTTGAGTTCTAGCAACTACTATATATGACAAGACAATACCCCGAACCATGATGTCCTCTTGAAACCTCAGAAGTTTAATACACATTATTAACATAGGACAATCTGCAATTTATGTAGGCGTGGTGACTACACACTGAAAAGACTACTGCAGCACAATGCAAAATATTTACTGTGCAGGTTTCAGCATAGGAATGGTCCCTCGTGAATCCCAGTCATACTTCAATAAAAAGCACAACAATGTTATCAAGAGGGGTCTGAAATAGTGCACATCTACTGAAGTAATAAAAATAACAATGTAAATAAAATGTATTTTAATTAATTAATTCACAATAGCCTGCATTTAATATTTCATAGGGCTGCAGTTAACGATGATTTTAGTACTCAAAGCTTCTGTAGATTATTTCATTGATTCATCGATGCATCGTTTAAGAAGTACTTTTGCTTGGCGGCGGCGGCCCCAGGCCACCCCCTTTTTGGAAATCCATCGTGTGTCATACAGCAAACATCAGACCAACAACATCAACAGACCAACAATCAGACAACTGCTTTACCAACACAAACATCACCCGAGTGCTATACAAGTTATGTTAAGGTGTAGCCAAGGTGGGACCCAAAACCCACGGCCCAACCAGCAGAACAAAAAACAGACGTGTTCACATTTTCAGCTGCAGATTGCAGCTTACTTTGGCTAGCCATCCACTCAACAATCAATCATGACTTCAGTTAAATGCTAAAGTTGCTGTTACTGTTATGTGTATGTATACTGTTAATATGGATTAAATGAAGCCTTGATGCAAAAAATTTGTGTCGATGCATTTTAGTAATCGAATTAATCAATTTAATCAATGAATCGTTTCAGCCCTAGTATTTCATAAACTGAAATGATGAGAAAAAATATGCTTGGATGGTTGGATATTGAGCATTCATTAATACTTTGTCATTCCAATGCTTTCCATGCACAATGTCAACATTTAACTGAACTGTGGGCACATGGTGTCCAACCACTCATTGGTTAAATACAAAGGACACGACAAAGATGATAAATTCCCACTGGGTAATGCAATCATTATGAGGTCATTGTCCTAGAAACAAATTCCAGCCTTATAGAGATTTAGACATTATCTGTCTGCAATAATCTCTCTGTCTCACCTGGATGTATTTCCTCTGTGTCTCATCGTTGAGAACGTGGGCCACATGCTTGGAGAAGATCTTTTCTCGGCCAGTACGGGCATGGATACCCACCATTGTTACACCAATAGGCCAGGGAGCATTACCAATGGCCATCTGCAGATAGGCATCATTTGCCTGGAGGAAAAATTGAATAAAGCTGAATAAATAAATAAAGGGTTATAACATGGTCAAAAACACTATTATACAGATAATATCATACCTTGACATATTCTCTCTCCAACATGAATTTAATGATGTCTGTGATTGACTCTTTGATGTCAGCTGGTAAACTCTGAAAAGAGAAATTATAACCATTACAAATGAAAAATCTAAATCCACCATACACACAATATCTTTGCAGCTTCCTAAATTATCTCCAAAATCTACCTTCTTCCTGAGCTTCCTGAAGAGAGGTTTGAGGTAAGACTCCGTCTGTGAGTGTGTTGCACTGGCCAACTTGCCCTGAACACTTCGCTTCACGTGGTCCTCTCGGCTGTTCAGATCTTTGGCCCAAACACCAAGAAGAAACTAGAATGCAACAAGAAATACAATTATTAATAATCAGTCAGTCAGACAGATTACAATTATTTATTCTTGCCTGGTAGCGTTGAAATACATCACAAAAAACAACCCATCATCAAAATAACCGATCATCTCCTCATCTATTCAACAATGATTCATCTATTAAAAAACAACAATGGAAATCAACATTGGAAACGAATAAAGAACAACATAAATAGCAGCAGCAGTAGTGATGTAAACATTTTCTATCCAACAGCTCCCTCTAGATTAAAGGCACAGCACTATTTTCCTGCCTTACCCTCAGAAACTTGTCGATAACATCCTGGTCTCCATAATCATCTCCTGTGCCCAGGGTTTTGCCAAGTATCTAAAGGAGAGTTTCAGTATTAGACACAAACTGAATCATAACCTTAACTTAATCAAGCTGACACGGATATATAACATAATTTATAAAAATGTATAACTGAGAAAAATGTCACAATATCTCAGTGTGTGAATACTGTGAATCTTAAAACAATATTCTAATGAATACAAAATTAAGCAGTAGTTATTAATAGATTGCCCATTAACTTGTTCTAATCAAAAAAATTGTTGAAAAGTGTTGACACAGTGTACCTCCAGTTCTTCTATAGTGGTGTTTTCTTCATGCACTTTCAGGTCATGCTGTGTGTCCACTTCTCCTGGCTCTGTTCCTCCAACAATCTCATTCAGGTACTGCTGGTCAATCTTGTCCATGGCTGCTTTCAGGTCATTCCTCAAGCCCTAGACGCAGAGACAGCATTAAACCATCGCATAACAATCACATAAAAAAATAAAAAACAGCCACATCCACTGCAATGTCTTTAATGACTGATGTGCCTCACTCAGTCTTACCTTGTTTACTTCTGGAGTCAGTATCTCAATCTTCCTGAGTCTCTGGAAGGCATCATAGTCGGACTCTCCAAACAGTCGGATTGGTTCCCCTCGTTCTCTAAGCCGCCGAATTACCTACACGGGGTCCGGCGATGCAAAGACACGTTTAACTTATAATATGGAAGGAAAAATTATTATAAGGGAAGTGTTAATATTTTATATTGACTTACTTCCTGTCGTGACAGTGTCATTGGCAGCTTCTCTTCTGTTAGTTCCAGTTCCAACACTGGATTACCTGAGGTGGACGGCTCATTTTCGTCCTTCTTATCAACCTTCAGGGCAATATGGAGGGAACAGAAATATAGTGAAGTTATTGGAGGGATGTAGAGGTATATATGTCCAGAATTTGATCATTTCAAAAGATTGCTCTTTCTGGGCCATCACACATGAAATTAATACAACTGAGATATGTGAAAAGCATCATTGTCTTCATGAGATGAAACCTCCGGATTGAAGAGGTTGTGTGTCACTATAATAAACTGGATTGTACCCATTCACATCCTTATCTTACCTGCAGCCCTTCTATAAAGACAAGTCACTAATAACTTACCCATAAAAGCAAGCACATTGAATATTACATTTATCTCATAACTTTCATGTTGCCTGTACCCCCTAAAGCCTAATCACAGTCCAAATATATTGAGTCTTTTTTTATGCAACAAGGAAACTCAAAGTATGCTACTAGATCATGCTTTCATAGGCACATGCATCCCGGCACTCACAGATTGTGGTTTAAGGAGCACAATCTAAAAGAACATACAAAAAAGAATTACAAAAAGCCTTTCAAACAAACAGTGGCCCTTGCTCAAATAAACACAGTATATACTACATGTGTGCAAAGAGCATAGCTTAAGATGTTTGACATTTTTTGCCTTGCACGAAGTACAACAGAAATGCAGTTTTCCATAGAGCAACTGTTACAAGGCAATGCAAACCAGTGACACAAAACCAGGGGAAACTTATTGTTCTAAATATTAAAGCTGCAGACACATACTATGTGCAAAATAAGAAGTGCAGCTTGTTAACACAATATATATATTTTTAAATTCAGTTCAGTATCCCATGCTGAAATCCACACCATGTCTGTGTCCCACTTTGGCTTTGCAGATTACTTTCCCTGTTTCCTTGCTTTCTGACGAGTTTGTTGCCAAATTTGTAAATAGTCTGTAAACATAACTGGTCCACCATATGGTCCAGTTGTCATAGTGGTTGCTGCACATTTAAATGCACTGTTAAAGCAAAAATATTAGCAGTGGTGGAGTATTGGAGGCACAAGGAGGTTCTGAAAATTCATTAAATGCAGGTTAATTTGAATACATTTGTATAGGCCCAATATCAAATTAGTATACGTTTACTAATTCATTGAGTTGTCCAATGTTGAATTTATTTCATTATCTTGCATCTTGCACCCGTGATGGAAAATAAAGATATCTCCACCATGTTATTTCTGCTTTTATCCTCACTGGCTTTAGAGAGTGAACTTTCAGAAGGGATGGCAAGGAAGCGGAAGCCTTTGGGACACAGTGTGTTTGGTCCTTTTATCATGCATCCTGTCAGCTACTTTCTCTGCGCAATCCCATACCTGGCTCTCAGGAGTCTCTCTCTGAATCTACAGAGATGCAGGCAGCAGAGGCAGGATGGGGAAAAACAGCACAGTAAACACAGATACAAACACTAATGTACACCTGAGCATCAAAGCCTGACCTTATTTTGTTTCCCTATTAAAAAGTTTAACGGCAGTATTACAGCATCTTACTTAACATGAGATAAAACTGAACTGAAGATAGGCAGTGATTCAGATGGGTTTGTGCGTGCAAGAGAGACAGAGAGGGGGCTTCATATCAACCTTATATCCACATTTTCTGAAGTACTCTTCTTGTTCCTTGTGTGCAAGATCAGCCCTTTTGAAGAATCTTTTGGAGTCCTGGAAGCAGAAATATAATTGACTTGTTTTATGCTTTTATTCAAACTGGATGTACAGCACAATGGAATGTGATACTGGTAGTGAAGCACAGTTGCATGAGGTAGTAACACTCTCTCCCAACAAATATGCCATATGCTTTCATTATGGCATTGTAGTGTGTTTATCTTTAATACAAAAGTAATATCACACAATTCAGAATTTTGATTGTTCAAGTTTTACTCAGTGTGTGGATGATTTAGAGGCGTCCTAAGTAAAGACAGACATATTAAAGCAAGTCTATAAGGTTTACTAAATGGGTGGTGTTCTGCACAGTATGTGTGTTTAAATCCAAGTGTTCCTGCAGTGGAGAGCAAGCACAGCTAACAATATCAAAGTGAAGATCACAATATCAGCCTAAATTATGATAACGTATGGCCATGTTAACTTACGTATTGATAACGTTAGCTATTTTTGTTTAACGTTAGGTTAACGTACCTTAAGTGACTGTGCTGATCTGTGTGCTATCTTGCCATGTTTAGGGCACTAACTTTAACAGTAGCTACATATTTTAACTTGTGGATGTAATAACATGGGCAATTCTGGAAAGACAGCGTTCACTGAACAACATTTTAGCATCAGGGCTAAGTTAAGTTGCCAAGCTAACGAAAACAAGCAACGCCTTCAGCTACTCACGTCAACAAGCTGTTTATCTTCGATGAGTTTCCTTTTCCTTGCAATCTCTGCTTTTAGTATATCCATTTTAGTAAAGTAACTGTGGTCGTTATTCGTTTATTTTAACAAATACTCACTCATGTAGGACTCTTAAAACAACACCATAACCTTGAGGTAATACCGGAAGTTAACATAAAAAATCTGACCACTGAATTTCAGAATAAGAGTCCTTTGCTTTTGATATTTGATTGATTCAAATGTAAATGTAAAAATAATAAATAAATGTGTATATATATATATATATATATATATATATATATATATATATATATATATAGAGAGAGAGAGAGAGAGAGAGAGAGAGAGAGTATAGATATTTTGTATGAATATTTTATTGTAGTATGGCTATTTGTAAAAAGTGAAATTGATTTTCCGAAGTTATATATTCTTTCTCAGCTGTAGCCAAGGGTGTTGAATTTAGTAGGGATGGTAGGGACATGACTCTACCAATATCCAGTGACTACTGAAATGTCCCTGGCAATAATTTGGGAATTATAATTAAAATATAACCACTGTTGTCCATCAATGTCTAGTCAATGTATTTGGTGACACTTTGGAGACACTTTCCTATTTGGTGTATGGCCATTGATTCAAAAACAAGTCCAGAGGTATAACACCACATAGGCTATACAATGGGTTTTTTCAATAATTTCAAATCTTTTTTTCAAAAACACAGTTCTGATAGAAAGAATGTGTTCATTGAATGTTTTTCTTTTTGGACATAATCAATTAACAAATATTATTACATTACATACAATTATAACAAATAGCCTAGTTTTATTGAAATCAACATGGCTATGCCTTTATTGGTCAGATACAGTTTTGCTAAAGCAATGCTTTGATACATCTATATACACAAAGGACTAAATTAAATTCCACACAGACAGCTGATGCTCCACTACTTTCAAAGCAATAATAGGCTATTTCCAAGCTAGCAGTTTTTTGGCAGGTGACCATTCACAATGGTCTGTTCAAGGACCAATCTCTTCCAAGAATGGGGGTTATAAATTATTTGACTTTGTAGATGTAGCTTATGCACTGCATCATCTTCAGCTATGGATATCCACCAGCTCCCTAAAGTCCTGTCTACCATGAGAGATCAGATATAATTCAAGGATTGTTGAATTTACAAGACAACTGGACAACCCACTGCCAGTGAGTTTCAGTCTGGCTCCTGTGGTCACTGACTAAATCTAGAAAATGAGTCGCTCTATCAACAATAATGTCACTAAGAACAGAATTCGTGTCATTTAAGAATCCAGACAAAAGTTAGTGTTTGCAGTCTTATTACAGCTTTTGTTCAAATGCTCAAATCCATTGTTTGAGCGCTACAGTGGCAAATGTCTGGCTCGACCTTTCAGATGAGAACATACCATCAGGTGGCGCAAAGGGATATGTGACGAATTTGTATTATTAAAGTCATTAATTTATTTACATGGCGCGAGGGAAGAACTAGCATCATGTTGGGAACGGGAATAGATCATGCAGTAGCATTTATCAGCACCATTTAAGCTCAACACGGTCAAATCTTCGGATGACAGTATCTGTAGCGCAGCCTGAGGAGAAATTTAACTGATTAATAAGGCAGACGGACAGTGATTCCGCTGAGTGTGTAGTCACTGATTTCGTCTTTCTGAAGAGCGATTTTCGACTGCACGACTGTTGACTATATTCCCCCTGAAGATGCAGTTTGCGGAGAGGAAGAGGAGAAGGAAGTCACAGAGCTTTAAACTGGTCACGGATGAAGGTAGGCTGCTGAATGAATGCAAGACCTTGCAAGACGCGCGTCTGTGTCTGGGTGTTTGTCTGGCGCTGTGTTCCAGCAGAGACGACTCTGTAAACAAAAGCGATGGCCACGACAATGCCCACAGTCTGTGCCTCGATCTTAACAAACAGCTAAGTCTAACGATTCAAGTCTTACATGTAAAAAAAAAATCTTCCTGGTCATCAGTCTCAACATGTTAAACCATAATAAATTAAGTAAACGAATAGTCCAGTATATGAAAACATGTTGTGCATTCTGAACATATAACAGCAGCTTAAATGATTCACTTTTTGATGGAGCTATAGCTCTAGGCCACCTCTCTTGACTACACTACTTCATACCACCTACAGGTGGTGGTTTCTGCATGGGATGGGAGGGGTGGGGGGGGGGGGGGGGGGGGTGGGGGGTTCTGCTTTGGTTGACATCACAGTCCCTATCAGCCTGCACAAGCTTCACCATTACAATACAAAGGGCCACAACACCATTCTGCAACTATCTGTCACACAGGTCTTACTGTGAAATTCTTTTAATTTTTATTAGAGCTATGTACTGTAACTATTCCATGACCAAACCTTGCTGTTTATGTTGCAGATTTTGACCCTTCATACATGATGAATTCCAGCTGCAAAGATGCGAATGGAGAGACCAAGGATGCTGCTGTGCCTGATGGTATGTGCCACTGTAAAGATTCATTACTGTGATATATCATAGCAGCTCTCACTAATTATACTGACACCCCTCTCTCTCAACTTAGTTTGGGTGGGGGACGAGGGGATGGAGATCAAGAGGCAAATCACAGGAATGATGAGGCTTCTGAGTGATAAGACTGGCAGGGTATATCAGCGTGTGGGAACAGAGCAGGACAGCTTAACAAAGGAGCCCCAGGAAAGGCATCTGACCTGGGTACATCAGCCTGCACATTTATCTCCTGTATCAGAGGAACACCAGAGCAACCACTGGAATTCTGCAGGGGACCCAGCGCCTTCGCCTTCATCCATATCCACCCCCATCCCCAACGGTCCAGGCTGTGGCCAGTACAGCACCCGCTCCAAAGCCATGAGGATCCTCAACAATACCAAGGATCTGATCAAAATGAATGAAGTAGTGAACGGTATGGTATACCAGAGCATGAAAATCAACTTTCATTTCCTAAAGAAAAATTATTAATTATTAAATAGAACAGAGAGGACATGCTGAACATCAGACAAGTGTTTTGGAGGGACAAACACATATATAGAGGAAGGTAGACGCTTAGAGGCATTGGCAAATTTATCCATACAAGACAGTCAAACACTTACTACACACAGCCATATACAAACTTTCTTGTCACATACATGCCAAGAAAGCACATTGCCCCAGTGTAAGTATGCTTTTTTGAGTAGACAATCACTAACCAACGAACTCCGAACTTTCCAGCAGATGTAGTCCCTCCTGCTGCGCCAGAAACCCCCTGCTGTATGTGTAACTGTAAGGGCACCTTGCAGGCTATTTTGCAGGAACTGCGTGCAATGAGGAGGCTGATGCAAACTCAAAAAGGTCAGTGGATGAACACAAACACTCACACACTGCCAGAGAGTGAGAAAGAGAGAGAAAATATAATGTGTTAAGCTGATGATACACGGAGCAACTTTTAGAGCAATCGTGCTGGGCAATGTTGCCGTCAGTGGTAATGAGTAAAGATTACTACCGTAATCCCCTTCCCCCACCACTCCACCACTGGCCCCGTACCGCCGCTATCCGTTCAAAACATAGTCGGACTTGCCTCCAGCAACACTGCCCAGCAACATTGCTCAAAAAGTTGCCCTGTGTATCATCAGCTTTACTGTTTTTTTCTAGCATCCTTGGAAAGACAGGAACAGGCAGCATCACCATGCCAACCTCGTCTTGGTCCTGGCCCCGCGCCGCGCTGTAGGCCCCGCAAGAGGAGGCCGATCTATAAAGTGACACCAGCGACTGTGTCTAATACTAGAAGAGCTGCTCTTACCCCCATGGAAGCCTCACCACTTGCAGAATCTAGAAAGAGGGAGGAATGTGAGAAAGGGCAAGACTCATCTACACCCAACACTCAGCGCATCTGCTCTGAGGTTTCTGTGCTGCCACCACAGAACAATCCAGTAACTGTGAACAACACACACAGTCCTCTCCTGAACCAACTAAGGGAACCTCAGTCGTTAGAGGTAATCTCCATGTTAGTGTACATCAGTGTGCATGTGCTTAACTTGTAGCTCTAATTTATGATTTCAGCATACTGCACTCTCACCCACAGAAGCAGTAGTCATGAATTTGAACATAATCTTTCTATTTTAACTCAACCTAAGACCCATTAGAAAAATCATTGAATTTGCAAGTGGAAATACACAATTTACAACTAAATAATGCTGCCTTAAGTTTTCCTTTCAGATTTTATATGAAGATACACAACTAGGAAAATTGCTTCTATTTCTTTTATAAAACGTTCTCTCTTTACCATGTTTGGCTACTTTTAAGAAATTAAAAATCCATTAACTTAATCTTTATACTGTACATAAAAAGCTGTAGACAGCAATGTGTTCTCTCTTTTTTCATCTAAAAACTGAATTTATCTGCTTGTCAATACTTCACGCCATGTGTTACTTCATTCTGTTTCAGTCTGAGGTGCGTCTTGCAGAGGATCATGATGTGTATATCTCAAAGGCTCAGCTAGACTCCATTCTGGTCAACTATACACGCTCTGGCAGCCTGCTGTTCCGGAAACTGGTGCACAGCCATACATTTTTAAGAGCAAATTCCTTTGGCTCATTGATTGTGGTTAACTTTGTAGTGATGTGGCATCACTGGTTACTTACATTTAATTATAAACACTAACATCTAATAATTTACTTCATTAATAAGCTAAGGTCACTAAAATATCAGCAATGTTTTAACATGGAGTTACTATATGTTTAGGTGTGTGCCTTCTTTGATGATGCTACCCTGGCTAACTCCTTGCCAAATGGTAAAAGAAAGAGGGGGCTCAATGATAACCGTAAGGGCTTGGACCAGAACATTGTGGGTGCCATTAAAGGTAGGATGTAGTCTCTTTGTACCAGGGTAACACAACAGTGCTCTTGAGGAAACATTAATATAATTGTGTGAACTGTGTCCAGTGTTTACAGAGAAATACTGCACTGAACACAGAATAGAGAAGTTGCCTGGGCCACGAGACTGGGTCCAGATCCTTCAAGATCAGATCAAACTTGCCAGGAGGAGGCTGAAACGAGGTACTGATACAGAGTCTGCTGCCAATTTTTACCCCTATTTTCTTTTTTTGAAGTAGCTCATTGTATACTTACATTCCATCTAGTAGCCTTCTTCACTTAATAAGGGTTTCGTGAGTATAGTCAAAGGAAGTTAATTTATTATTATAGCCTAGTAGGTTCATAAGTCAATCAAAAGTTTGAAGAGGAGGCCTTCTGTGGACGTTTAACAGTTAAACTTTTGACAGTTAAACTTTGTTCTTCCTTTGGCTCCTCAGATGCTGCGGAAGCAGAAGAAGTCTTAAATGGACCTTCCACAAGTATGAACCTCATATTAAAATGTTCACACACACGCGCACGCACACACACACACACACACACGCACACACACACACACACACGCCATCTTACCCATTCATTCAGTTGTCTTCCTTTATCTTTCTGTCTGCCTCTTTCCCCTTGTATTAGTACTACATCCTACATCTTTCCATCAGCCCCCCTCTGAGCCCACAATGTCTTTACCTCTAACCACTTCACTGTCACAACACACACACATACACACACGCTCATTGGCTCATATGTCTTTGTCACGCTGTCATTGTGACATTTGACATTCTCACACAGCTTCCCAAAATGTCAGCTAATTATCTTCACACCATGCACCATATCCCCTCTTTCACCTCTCTCTTTCATTCTGACTGTCACAATAGCATTTCTTTTTGTGCCGTCTCAGTTTTTTGTTCATGGAACATGCTAGAAAATCCACCAAATGTGTGAACAGACTTCTCTTTACATGCACACACAAATGTAGTGATTTTTAAAAATGTAACATTATTTTCTTCCTTCCTTTATAGGCTGTGAATATAACAAGCCTGGGTGTGTGGAGGGGACAGTGGTGAACATGACTGGTTGATTGTCACAATGGCCTTACAGCAAATTTGTTGATCATCTTCATTACTTCTCTAACTTCATGCATTTTGCCACTTTAGATTTCCTTTGCAGTTGTAATCTGCTCTGTGTTATGGATGTAAAGGTGAAAAACAACAGGACCAAATGATGAAGAAGCCTGCTTAACTACATCCACCTATTTTACGTACACACGCACACACACACACACACACACACACAAAAACACTCCACCTGTGGTCCTTAAGACTTTTCAATGGACACATACTGGGATCTGGGATTTTGTGCCAATAGACACTGAATGATACAGTGGTTAAAAAATGTCAGGTCATTTTCATGTTTAGAAGGGACTGACTGTTTACATTATAGGCTACAGCTTTAAAAGCATACTCGCCTAGTTTTCATATGTCAATAGGCCTACTAGGAAGAGTCACAAGTCTAAACTGAGACAAAATACTGTAAGAGTATAGCATTCATATGGGCCTATTTTGCACAAATTACTTTTTACGGGAAGCTGTCCATCGTTGATTGTGCCTTTTAAGTGACCAGTCATTCAATATGTGTGATGTGCAGTGCAGCATCCACCTCAATGACAAATACTACATCCAAAAGTAAACATCTGATGTATTTTGGCGAATTTGCTAATTAAAAATAGGTTGATACATCTGGCTGAAGATATCAAAATATAGAGTGTTCTATGAATCGTTGTTTCTTTTCATTATTAGAATGTCTAGGCTATGCATACCAGGGCTACTGTTGTTAATATTGTGATGTAATTGCAGCATTTCTCTTTCATTTCTGCTCACAGTACATATCAAATGAATAGTTGTTTCCACCAATAAATTTGGTTTCTTGACAATTTTGTTTTTGTGTTGTTTTGTTGTTTATATGCTAGACAGTGCAATTAACACCTGAGTAAATTAGAAAAATGTGTTGTTGTTGGATTTCTTCCTGAATTATTCTTGACGCCTAAGTAATAGTAAACACAGTACTGTCCTAATGTAACAAAGCACTATAACAAAATATTTGTGGCAACATTAACATAATTATGTGGAAAGATAAGTTTAACAATGGACGTTTAAAAAGCTCAGCCTTTGTTATGTACCCACACTACCAACCGGGCAACGTTGTGTTGTTGTAGGTGCAATTGGAGGGAAAACAGTAAATTAAAGGTACACTCCATTGTAGAGATTTTGTTGCCAGACTTCACAGCTCATTAAAGGGGATGTCGAAGCCGCCGCTGTGCAGGCAGAGGACCCTTTGCGATCTCGTGAGTTTCCTCTTCGTATTGTAAACCATATATTGTTTAATGATGATGAAGCGTGGTCGGATAGGTTAGTTCATGAAATTATATGTAGTTATACGTAATAGCTTAAATATTTCGCCGTCTAGTTCGGAGTTACACGACAAACAAGTCTCACTTTTCGTCAGGCTTTCTCGGAGGACGCCCGATTCCAGCCCCAGTGCATTCTGGTGCCGTCCCCGCTCTTCTGTCGAGATCCACCGCTAACGTGAAGCTGGTAAGGATAAACTGGTCAGATCAATTAAAGGGGAAATGTTGCAAGAATATAACTCCGCTTTGGTCCTAAAATCGCATCTAGAGCAATTGTGAACACTTATATTGCACCATGTCATCATAAACTATCCCCAAGTAGCACGATTTGCGCTGTTTTAGTGATATGAACTCTGATGTTGCACACATCGCATGGCGTGGGACAGGAAAGGGTTAATTTTTTCCGCCGCCGACATTTTTGTTCGGAGCTCTACGGCAACTTTTTAACTTACATATGCAACGAGCTGCCACTGTGTGTCACTTCTATGTACCACATTTAGGATGTAGGCTGCACAGTTTGTGTTTTTTAAATGTATTACAGCTCGCAGTCTCGCACGCCCTCAGCTCTTTGTTGCACAGAGCTGCTTGTGCACATCGCCCCGTGCATGGATCAGCGTTTGCGAGCAAGAGCTAGCATGAAAAAGGAAAGCTGCATCTTTGGCAAAACAAACATAAAACCTGAAAGACGTGTCTCAAAGTTGAGCGCCCAGTAATGGCAGTTTATAAAGTAGAGTACATCACACCCGAAAAGGCAGAGCTTACATCTGATCAGCTCATGTTAGCCAGTGCTTAGGGTTGAATGAACTTAGCAGCATTTTGTCTCTTGAACACTCCCACAGCGTAGCCACTAACTAACAGATGCCCCTTCAGCAACTTAAAGGTTGTTTAAACAACACACATGGGTTATAAATAACCAATAACTTGACTGGCATTTTTAACTTGTGGCCAAGTGCCAATTGTCTGTTCCTTTTGCTGAACCTGAAAATATGAGAGTCGATCAGTTTGTTGTCAGTGGTGTTTGAATGTGGCACAGAGAGGTGTTCATTTTAGTATTGCAATTTGTAACAGTTGATTTGTGGTCATGTTTGTAGATTTAATTCCTGGTGTTGGGTTGCTTTGGCTCTGTAGATATTTCTGCCAGGGGAACAAAAGATGACAAGCTTGGTCTATTAATCATCATTTGATCCACAGAAAATTTTGTGAAGCAATGAATTGATCTGTCTTTTTTGTTGAGTTTATTAAAACATAAACTCAACAACAAAAACATTTAACGGTGTTGGCAAGGACAATCAGCCATTTTTCACAATTTTCTGATATTTTATAGACTAAATAATTAATTGATAATCAAGAATATAATTTGCAGTTTAATTGCTAGTGACAGCCCTACAGATGACTGCAGAGTTAAATCAATAGGTCTCTGACACAGTCATAAAAAACTATGCTATTTAAAGGCAGGATTTATTGAAGTGCTGTTTCTTCCGATTGCACAGATGTAGAAGCTCTCTTGTATGTTTTATCTTTGTCATGAGGCACTCGAAAAGATACACAAAGGTGTACATTTCCGAATAATCTGAGAAGGCATTGCGTTGTTTTTTTAGTGTGTTCATTGCAGTTAACAAGATTTTCTTACAGCCTCGTGTGACATCCAAACAGTGTTTCTAATCACCAATTCTATTGTTGTGTTTTGTCCTGGTCATTGATGTGATTCTAGCGGTGAGGGCCCAGAGTTTCTTCAGACATGTCAGTGAGGGAGTCCTTTAACCCCGAAAGCTATGAGCTGGACAAGAACTTCAGGCTCACCCGCTTTGCTGAGCTCAAGGGCACAGGCTGCAAGGTTGGCATCTCCTTATCAAAATCTACCTCGGGTGTATTATTGTCTTTATACAAATGTGTAAGTATTCTGTCAGAATAGAAATATAATGTGTGAAAATGGTGGTAATTTTCTTCGGTCACAGGTGTCCCAAGATGTGTTACAGAAGCTGCTAGAAACACTACAGGAGAACCACTATCAAGAGGATGAACAGTTTCTGGGGGCAGTTATGCCCCGATTAGGTATCTATTATCTTCTTATAGCACTATAATAACTAATAACATAGTTACAAAGTGCTTATAAAGGCTTAAACAAACAACAGCAGCTGTAACAGGAACAAGTCTTACAATAATAAATATAAAGTATATTAAAGATGACATAAGTTACTATAAAGAAATGTCTATATGGGACACTCCCCAAGGTGTGACAAGAATTCTCCTTTGAGGTTGAAACCAGTTTTGTGGCGGGATTAAAGACATAGTTGCTTCATTTTGAATTCCCACACCAGTGACAAGAGTCCTGCTGTATTATACGTAAGCCCCAAATGACCTGACATTGTTGAGTCCGATTTAGGGAGGGGGCTTTGCATCAGGGAAGCAAGAAATACATCTGGCTACAAAAGATTTAATTACTGTTAAAGTATTAAACCTGACCCTCAGTTCTGAAATGATCAGTCTACCAGTATAGACATGCTAAAATGAGTCTCCATGAAAGTCCAGCAGTCAAATTTTGATCCACCTGAAGTTGTCTGCCTTGTCTTTTAGGATTTTTTTTGTGTGCACTAACAGTACCATATCACACACACACCAACAGAACATAAACCTCTTAAAAATATCACAGAGAAAGCTCTTTTATTTTTTGAAGGCATAGGCATGGACACCTGTGTGATCCCCCTCAGACATGGAGGCCTTTCTCTGGTTCAGACAACAGATTACATCTACCCCATCGTGGATGACCCCTACATGATGGTATGGATGTCCTCTTTTATGGTCATTACTTTTTGTCTCAGTGTGATCCTATAAATTATACATACATGTGACAAATGGAAGCATGTCACTGTTGTAATTCTTTATTGGGTCTGATGTAGACCTACTTTACACACCAACCCTTTTTAATGTGCTTTAATATCAGTATTTCTATTTTGTAGGGAAGAATTGCTTGTGCCAATGTTCTAAGTGACCTGTACGCCATGGGAGTGACAGAGTGTGACAACATGTTGATGCTTCTGGGAGTCAGCAACAAAATGTCAGAGAAGGTAAGAGGCATGTCAGTTGTTGCGTTTTTTACTTTTTGGATCTTGTGTCTAGCAAATAATTGCAAGGAACCAGTTGGGTTGATTGTTAAAACAAACCAAGTACCGCTCAAAGGTTTCTGAGACTCAAAATTAAAGAACATGTTGTGAAACAGTTAATGAACAGTTATGAAAGATACTATTAGTTTTACGCCATGCTGTCAGTCCCTGCTCTGAATTTTCTGTGTCTTTGCAGGAGAGAGACAAAGTCATGCCACTGATCATCCAGGGATTCAAGGATGCATCGGAGGAGGCAGGCACATCTGTAACAGGAGGGCAGACTGTGCTCAACCCCTGGGTGGTGATGGGAGGAGTTGCCACAACAGTCTGCCAGCCCAATGAATTTATCATGTGAGAATGAGTTCCTACTACAAATTTCCTTACTCATGCTGTTTGTGCTATTGACACTTTGTGTATTATTTTTGTTGTTGTAACCTGCAAAAAATCCTGACGACTCCAAGTTTGACATTTCTCAGGCCCGACAATGCAGTGCCAGGAGACGTGTTGGTGTTGACCAAGCCACTCGGTACACAAGTGGCCGTTGCAGTTCACCAGTGGCTAGATATTGTAAGTGCCTGCTGACTCGTTAAAAATGTTGCCTGGGCACTTCTTAGGATACACACTGATGCAATGTTTTTTTTTTTTTTGTATCTCTCAGCCTGAGAAGTGGAACAAGATCAAGCTGGTGGTAACCCAGGAAGATGTAGAGCTGGCCTACCATGAAGCCATGATGAACATGGCTCGGCTCAACAGGACAGGTAAAACTACTATAATTGATTTGCAGTGATAACTGCTTAACACAGTTTTATTTTCATTTGGTATTGTCATTATTTTTCAACTATGTTAGTGTGCTAAGTTGAGCAAAAATCTTGTGTTGAGCACCAGCAGCAGCAGGGCTGGATTGCACCCTCTGTGGCTAAGCAGCTTCTGCTAATAATGTGAAACTTTATATTCAAGTAAATAGCTTGGTATACTTTAAAAGATAATGTTCCATGTGAGACAGACGTTGCATACTGCAGCTTTATGTTTACACAACACATCCAGTTGTCGTGTTTTTGTTTTGCTTTTTCCTTTTCTTTTTTTTTGTTTCTTGGATTAAATTGTTCTCCCACAATGAGTTACAGTCTTTATGAAACAATATTTGTTTAGACCACTGGCTAATCTTCATGAAAACAGAGTTGTGTGCATCCCTAATCAACCAATTAATCATCCAGAGGCCCTTCTAAGTCTCTCTCTCTCTGTTCTCCCTTGTAGCGGCTGGTCTCATGCACACCTTCAATGCTCACGCAGCCACCGACATCACAGGGTTTGGCATCCTTGGCCACGCTCAGACGCTGGCACGGCAACAACGAAGTGAGGTATCATTTGTCATCCATAACCTCCCAGTCCTAGCCAAGATGGCTGCCGTGTCCAAGGCCTGTGGGAACATGTTCGGACTCATGCACGGCACCTGCCCTGAAACATCAGGTGTGTGTGCGCGCGTGTGTGTACAAGGCTCTGTGTTTCTTTCTTCCATAACCCTTGTTTATTTTGAATGTAAAGTTTATTTACAGTATATAGCACCAACAAATAAAACATTAATGTAAGGCTGTACTACAGCCTGCGGGCCACAACAACAAAGATTCACTCACCCTCCCTACAAAAAACCTTTTGATGTAGCATTCTCCAGTGATCATTTGTTAGGGCATGTGAACTGAGTTACAATAGTCTAATTGGGACACGATGAGTGTGAGATAACAGGCCATAATTATGGAATATTTTAAGTAGGAATAAAGAAGAATCTCATAGTAATTTGACATTTGTTTACTCATGAAATGTCCTGAGAATATGACTTAGTATAGGTTAAAGTTGTACTGAGGCTCATTTGTACCTTTGATGCTATGCTCTTAGAGTTGATAACGAGGACTTTTCTGGGCCATCCAATTCTTGAAACAGCGTTGTAATACAGCCAACTTCTATGATTGGTTAAGTCTAAGGGAAAGGCACAACTGAGTATCATCTCTTTAACAAAGCTAAGGAAAAAAATAAAACTACAATTGATCTGTCCAAGTGAAAGCAAGTGAAAGGAGAACAGGCCTGGACCAGGAATTAAAGCCTGACAGGCACCACAGGAAAGAGGAGCCCAAAAGACAGATAAAGCCCTACAGAGGCTCAACAACATAAAGAAACATAGGATGAGAACCACTCACGACAGCCCATAATAATATAGTGCCACCTGGGCAGGACGACGATAATATGCACATCAGTATCAAAGGCAGTGCTTAGATCCAGTCTTAAGAGAACCAAGCCACCAGCATCACTGCACATCACTACACATCACTGCACATCTTTTGACACCCTTGTGACTGATCAGATCTCCTTTTCTTTACAGGAGGCCTGCTTATCTGTCTGCCTCGGGAGCAGGCTGCCCGCTTCTGTGCCGAGATTAAATCCCCAAAATATGGCGAGGGCCACCAAGCGTGGATCATTGGGATTGTAGAGAAAGGAAACCGCACTGCTCGCATCATTGACAAGCCACGGATCATAGAGGTGGCACCACAAGCAGCCACGCAGAATGTCAACCCAACGCCTGGTGCAACTTCTTAATCTTCCTTTGCTGCATCATAGACCGGAACCCCAAAAGCTCTGCCGAGTGATTTTAGACACATAAACTACAAAACCATCCTAGAGTGTTGAAATGTATACACAAAATAGTATGTACCCATAAAAGACTGGGTTGGCGTGTATCTACATGAAAATCAGCCCCTCACAGTGGCCCAAGGGCATGTCATCACCCAGTGGACTCAACCTGCAGTATCCCCATGATAAAAAATCGCTAAGAAATAGAGCATACTTAAAATCATTTGCCTTTCATGTCTCTTGTATCCTGTTATGTTAAATGTGCGTGATTGGCAGGCAGCTTCTGATAAGAGAGTGATGATGATGAAGACAATTATCTGATGGTGTTGATTCATTTTGAATTTTAGCAAGTCTGGTATCTGTCGCCTCTTTGGGTCTTTTTAAAATTGCTCTCATCAAGTAAGCGGGCTGCGTGATGGTGTTTCTGTTTGTCCATTCACTTTGTACAGTTAAAGCCTAGTTTTAGTTCATTACTGTAAACTGATGCCTTGAAAGAAACTAAGTGTGACCAGAATGGTTTGTTTTTTTATTACTTTGACTTTTTGTATTATCCCCACCCAAACTAATAAATACTCAAGTAGAAGATGGTTTGTTTTTGCCCGTTACCTGGGAGCTGCACTCATGCGAATTAACTAGATTGAATGTGACATTTTATCTACTTACATCATAAAACTGCAGATATATTTTATTTTTATTTTTTTTACATAAAGAATTGATGATGCTCCATCATGCAATGACCTGCAGTCAGATTAATTGTGGTAAAAATTCATAGATGAGAGAAATCTGCATATCCTTCTGGAGATAAACCTCTCAACTGCATTCCCAGTTTGTCATTGCATTTAAGGTAATATGGTGTTAAGAGTTTTAATTATATGGTCACAGAGGTGTGCAGCTGTAGCATTCTGGGTTGTTGACAAAAAGCACTCAGTGAGCGTGTTACCTTTGTTGAAGGTCTGGTGCATTTAGTTTTGCTCTTCTAAATAAATGCTAGAATATGTGCTGTGAGCAGTCTGACTTCCTGTTATGAAGCTTCCAGTTGATCAAACTCTTGATCCTTTTTCTTTATCCTAATAGCCTGGATGAATCTGGAAGGACAGTGTAAATGTTCATGTGGATACCAGAAACGAGATATGACCTCCACCCCACCTTTTAAAATAAACTTCTCTTATAATAGATGGTTTTTCTGTGTCTGTTTTTGATGCATTAAAAGAGTGAATTATCATTTAATAATAATAATAATCAATCATTAGTAAAGTTACCAGTATGATGAATTCATTTCTCATTAATAATCTTGTCTATGAAGATTCTCAGTCATCCAGGTCATAGTTATCCAACGAAGGTTAAAATCAACTGGACTTGGTTGAAGATACTGGAAGACGTTTCGTCCCTCATCCAAAGGACTTCTTCACTGAAGAAGTCCTTTGGATGAGGGACGAGGGACGTGAAGAAGTCCTTTGGATGAGGGACGAAACGTCTTCCAGTATCTTCAACCAAGTCCAGTTGCCCTTGATTTTAACCTTCGTTGGACATTAATAATCTTATGTCTGCATTTCATCAGTTGCACAAAAGCCGATGATTCTGGGCTGTATATAATATGTGTATAATCAAATGACAAAACACCTTAAAATGAACAGCAAATTCATAAATATTGACGTAACAATAGATTTCTATTTTCAAACATACTTTTTAAAAATTCTTGTAATGTATTTACACATCTCATATGCACAAACCATAGACTATATAAAGATTATATGTAGGTGTATTACATTACATTAGATTTATGTACAGTCTATGGCATAAACTGACAAAAGGTTTCAAGGAGGGAGAAATAACCATGCAAAAACAAATTTCCCATTTTTAAAGATTACATCTTTCCCTCAGCAACAAAACTGCACAGCTCTGAACATTATAGTATAAACAGAGATAAATTAGAGTAACAATTGTTCTTTTTGTCTGACAGGAATGACCAGCTCCTACAACGTGACACACCATAAAAGCAAAAACATCCTAAGTGCAACCTGTCACCAGAACATTGGTTTGTTTTTATGAATGAAGCACTACAAAGACACTCACAGGTCATATGTGAGCCAAATGAAGCAAACCATCCCACAGTGTCTGTTATATGTGCTTTTTCCCATTTTCCAGCTGTACATGCTTTGCATGCTCCACCGTCTTCTTGTCATTTTCTAGCTTGAAAAGTGCTTGGATATCAAGCATGGCCTTCCTAATGTGCTGACCAAACCGGTATGAGTCCTGCAGGTCACACAGAAAGGCAATAACACATACAGTGAGAGAGAGAAACAGAAAAAGTGTTGAGTTTTGAAAGATAGCATGGATGATATACAGATGAATCTATAAAAAGCATTGATCTTATTTTGTGCTCTTACTGTGTCAGGGCTAGAGAACTTGCTCGAGATGTGGAATGTGATGAGGTTTTCCCCAACAATTATATAAGACACACCATAACCGTCATCAGCCACCTGGGGTTAGACAGGAAATTCTGTTATATTACTGTCCAAAACTCTCCAGATCAGGGCACAGGGAGGACGTTATGACTGGCACATCTCTAAAATAAAACAGTAAAACAACTCACTGGGCCAAATCCACCACCTGCACCCACATATTTAGGGAACTTGTTAATGTCAACTAAATTGAGCTGCTGCTGTGGAGTCTGGCTGGTTGACAACTTCCAGGGCTCTGAAAGCACCTAGAAGCAAAGACATTGAATGTTGTATGGAAAAGGGCACATAAGAAACATGTGAATCAGAAATCAACACAATGATGAATGAGAGACAATAGGTGATTATAAGTCTAACCTTCTTAAGAAATCGTGAGTCAACACCAAGGTACTTGGACACTATGTAGAGACAGAAGAGGTGACGGTCGATACCAGAACCAGTCATGGCCAGACGATACATGTTTTGATGCTTATCTGCCGCCTTTCGAAACAGGGCAAGTCTCTGGGCATTCTGATCACAAAAACAACCAACACAAAAGAATAGCATCCAGTTTCACACAGATGTCATATCACAGTGACCTTATTTCTGTTAACGTGAGGGTCAATTTAACAGAACACCAGGGAGTTCAGAGTCTAAGGCACTGACATGCAGAGACACATTGCCCATAGGTCTTAGTGACCAAGTCCTAAGCGGTACAATGTGACCTCTCAAAATTGGACCTTGAATACTTGCAGCAAGTCTTGACAGACACACCACGTCACGTCACTGTGAGCCTGGTAATGCACACATTTGCCACCAGATACTTCCAAAGTCTAATTATTCTACAAAAAATGATATCTATTTATTCCAGTAAAGGGTTTTAATATCTTCAACCCTGCTGGACCCAGCTGGGTCGTTTTTTATAGGGTGCCATTTGGACTTCATTACTTGGGATAAATAATTAGTTGATTTACCTATATTTTAAAGTTCTATAATATAAAGGATATATCGAACTTTATGAAAAAGATATTAGTCGAGCTCAGGCACCTTTATTGTATTAAATTTATATATATTAACAACATGCAAGACATGTCCACCTTGTTAAGGACTCAGACATAACTGTTTAAAAGTGTTTTCAGAGCATGCTTGCTAGTACCCTTATCAGATATTTGTTATACAATAAAATCATTTTTAAACAGCATAGGCTAGACCTATATTGAGAAAAACAAGCGCACATTTGGAAAATGGGACTTATTTCTCCACTTTTTTCTATGATAAAAAATTACTTAACATCTCTTGCCTGTATAGTCAATCCCTTCCATATCTTTATGTAAATACAAATATACACTTAATATTTGGTCATTTCAATAAACTATGAATATCAACATAAGTATGATTCAAGTGAATAAAATCAAACATTTATTGAACATTTGTTATATTGTTATTGAAAAAAATTATATTGCGATAATTATTGTTATTGTTTTATTGTCCAGCCCTATGTCCACCCTGTTGAAAAACTAACAGGTATATATATTTCAAATATAATAATACAATTAATTATCTCTTTTTTTTTTTACTTGTTTTTTACTTGTTTTTGGCATTAAAAGTAAAAAATCCCCATTGACCAAAAAGTAAACATCCATATTGACTGACCACCCCTTGTATCTGCATGAAATGGTTTGATTCTGCCTTAGCACACTTATCAGTGACGGTGTTTAGTTGCAGTTAGTAGATGCGCCAGAAATACAGTGATCACAAACCAAAATCTGGTTTTCATAAAAGGAAAGACAGAAAGGAGAGAGAGGAAAGATAAAGGAAAGGATGTCAATCTGTAACCCAGTTTTTCACCAAAAAAGGTGGGTAGCCTATAGTGTGTGAGTGGTATTAACCTGTTGGCTTAAAGGTCCAGTGTGTAATATTTCTGAGGATTTATTCAGAGAAATGTAATATAAGATCCATAACTATGTTTTCAGTGGTGTATAAAGACCGTACTTAATGAACCATTATGTTTCTATTGCCTTAGAATCAGCCATTTCGACCTACATTACCACGGATCCCCCCTTCTATGGAGGTCGACATATTGTATCGCCATGTTTCTACAGTAGTACAGTTAATTACAATTACAGTATAATTCCAGAAGCGTATTCGCCTGTCACTACATTGAATACGTACAAAGAAGAAGAAGTGATAATAATAATAAACAATTGCTGAGTAGTCTTCTGGTTTATTAGAAGTAAGAAGACAAGTGACATTTGGACACATGAAGGAGCACATGTGTTAAAACAAACAGCCTGTGGATCTTCATACAATGAAGCCAGACGGAGTTGGCAGATACAGACTGATGACGGCAGAAATAAAGGATATACATGGTATCATCAATACCAGCCTGGGTATTACTTGGAAAGTAATTAGTTACACTACTAGTTAATGAGAAAAGTAAAACTGACAGTAACTTAACACCCAACACTGAGTATGAGACATCATGTAGCACTTCATTTCTCGATGTGGCTGTTGTTTAGTAATGAACAATTAACAATAATATTCAAAAAACATGGTTTTATTGAATAATTAAGTAAATATAATTTATTAATATAGCTACAAAAGAAACCTAATTTCTTGACCGGCAACTCTCTGCTATCTCATAGACGACATCTTGTCCTGGTTCAGGCACTATAGCTATACTACACCATTGGGTGTGGAGGGAGATGCAATTCGCAACCCTCACCACTAGATGTCACTAAAACTTACACACTTAACCTTTAATGTCCACAGTGAAGTAGCTAGCTACAGACTAGTGTTAGCCTACATGTCATCAACATTGGGTTAATGATGTGCCAGTTAGCATCATTCCAGGGAGTCTGTGGGGATTTCTCTATCTCTCTTTTTACCATAACAAAAAAGAAAATGAAATATTTATTAATGACAGAAATTCAAACACAAATTATTTTCTCACATATTGATCATTATGAAATAAATAAATAAAAACAACAACCCACTGTCTGTTTGGAAACAGTGAGTAGCTTACCTCAGCCTGCATGTAAGTTACAGACAATATTAAAATAATCCAGTTTAATACGTCCATTTAGATTGAATTATGGCCATTAAATGACATCTATAGATAGGTGCTAATGTTAAGAGAATTTTATCTCTTAATTTTACAATAAAAATACATTGAGACTGTAAAATATTGCCTTAAGGGCTTTTTTTATTGTGGCTTTTAATCTTGTATCAAAAATTGAACTGCATACTGAATGCAGACTTGCATGTACAAATCACCAGCAGTAAATATTGTGCTAGTACTAGTATTGAACTACAAGAAGCAAGACAGTTACAAGCCTTTAATTAGAGTTATGTATAAGTTTTTGACGGGACAGTTGCGCAAAGGGGGCCCAGTTAGATGTTTTTGTCATGGGGCCCAAAATTTCTGGCGGCGCCCCTGCCACTACTACAAATAGGTTCCGCAGGATATAAGAAAAGGAGAACAAGGATGGAAGAAGAAATGCATATTTAACAGACTTCTGTGGTCTTGTGTTGTGTTTTCCCAGTTTATTTCAAGTATTTCTGTGTGTTTGTGTATTCTGCTTACTGTTGCACCTGCATCCTCCATGGCTCTGACAAATGCAACAGCCTCAGAAGTGCAGGATCGTACCGTTTCCGTCCGACCGTCTCTGAACATACGAGTCATTGATGACTCGTACGTCAGACAGAAAACACCCTGGTCCTATAAAGCAGG